GGAGGGGTGAGGCCCTCACTTGAGGCTTCCTGGCATAGCTAAGTTGACACACCTCTTTGCTTTCCATGTGAAGACCAAGACTGGTTTGCATGATCACTGCAGCCTCCTATGGCTCGTTAGCCATGGTAGATTGTGGTGACTGTGGATCTAGGTTATTGATCAAGGCCGCACCATGGTATCTTGTTATGTGCAAACTAGCAAGGGTGAGTTGGGGTTGGTTGGCAAGCCTCCCGGAGCCCATGGGCTGCTCTAGACTTGTCAGCTTCCCCAGCAACGTGCCATTTCTGGGCCTGCATGTGAGAAGAAGCCATGATGCCCCTCTGCCTTAGCCTGAATATCCAGAATGTCAGCAGCTGCCACAGAGAGAAGCCCCACAGAGAAATTAATCCCTGGTGTCCTCTTGTTATGTGTGAATGAGACCAAAGAGAGAATATTAAGGAGAGCAAGTATTTCTGTGAGGCTGGGGAGCTACCAGGGAGGGAGATTCAAACTGGTCAAGCAGTGGCCTGAGAGGACCTGGTTATGCCTCCTTCAGGTGGTTTCTTCTAAGCAGCTCTAATAAGGACTCTGCACTGCAGGCAGGAATGATGTAAGTAGGAAGGGAACTTCGTGGGGCTGGGAACTGTTTGCCCAGAGGATATAGGCTTGCTACGTGTGTGGCCTATATCCTTACAGTGAATTTGGTTGGCTCTGGCTTCTGCTTGCACCACATTCATTGTGACCTGGCAATCTTAAGGAGGCAAGATGGAATGGGGACGAGTCCAGAATTTTGCATACTAAGCAACCTGTTCTTTAGCTGTAGGCCTCTAGGTCTTAGTATAATTTGTGTAATACTTCTGCAGTCTGCAGTCCAACAGCACCTGGAATGCCACATGTTACCCACTGGAAGTTGTAGCATCAGCCATCATTTCTGCCATCAACAGCCACTAGGTGGAAAGTTTTAAATACCTAAATGTTGCATAACTTTGTAAAAAATAATAAATCTGTTAGGCATAATTTCTTATAACATTGCTGGAGAAAGCCACTTTATTAATCATGTGTTCTTCAGTGTTTCTTTGTTTTTAACTACAGAATTGCAGGAAGGAGGTGGTTTTATGCGGACTTGCGAAGGTTAAAATATAATCAGACTTCTTTTGTGATTTTGTTGTTGCAGACTTTGCTCCAGATTTGTAGTGTGGTAACAGTGGCGATTTCAGTGATTCCTTGGATCCTTATCCCTTTAGTTCCACTTCTTATTCTTTTCATCTTTCTTCGTCGGTATTTCTTGGCTACATCAAGAGATATTAAACGTTTGGAATCCACAAGTATGTATTGTTGATATGGGCTTGATTTTAAAGATCTGAGTGTCATTTAATAACTTAAATGCTAACCTCTTGGTGCTAACCTGAGTAGGAGTGGCTTTCCTACTTTTTCTCTAAACTCCTGTGTGTATATTAATTATGATTTTAAAATTCTTCTTATTCACTCATTTGTTCCTTGTTACAAGAAATAATAGGTCTTGTGGAATTCTTCTCTTAGGACAAGACAGATATGACACCTCTGATCTTTTAACAATTTATAGCCTAACCCTGACCTTCCCCTTTGTGTTGTTATCTTTAACCAGTGCTGAACATAGTTGATGCTAACCAGGGTTGCCACCGTTGCTGGAATGTGAGATTCTGATATGGCTTTGTAAACCCTGGTTAATGTTAACCATGTTTAGCATCAGTGCTGTGGGAACATTAAATTATGGTTGAACCCAGTCAGGGAAGGAATATTGAAAACAGTGCTGGGGAACAATCTTTATATCATTAAACCATAGTCAAGGAAGTAGCAGGGCGATGTTGCGCTATTCTGCATTTTTCAGAGAAATGTAACACAACCAAACCTCAATGAACAGAGTTTGACCATGGATGAGTTCATACGTCACAACATGCCACCCCGCAGTGTTGCTGGAGTTGGGATAAACTCCAGCAGAATCAGGCCTCTGGCATTTGTGGACTTCCCCTCATGTTCTGTCCAGCCTTGCAAGCAAGCGGAGCAGAGAGGAAGTAGGCACAGACTTGTGGAATGAAGGAGCAACACCTGTCAGCTTCTGCTTGAGAGACACCCCCATGTGCTGGGGTTGGCACAGCACCACTTGGCTGGTTCCCTCACTGGCCTCCTCCACCTGGCTGGGTATGCTTTTCTTGCAGGTAAGGGGCGGAAAGCGGAGAACCCTACTTACTCCTGTCACTGCCACTTGTGAGAAAGGAGCCCGTGAAGGCTCCAGGTTGGGGAGGCGTCTCTCGCTAGTGGAAGCAGGAAAGAAAGGCAAGGTAGGGAAGAATCAGCTGAGTAGCCCTGTGCCACTACCCAGGTGATTGTCCCACACCTTCTTTAGGGGGGGCAGCAGTAAAATCAGCTAAGTGGAGCTGCCTCCAACCAGGTCACCCAACCCAGCTGCTTCTCCTCCTGCTACTCATGCATGAAGGGCTGCTCTCAGGCATGCACGCAGGCAAGCGAATGGGAGAATCGACTGAGCAGCCCTGCTCCTTTATGCAGCACTGCTCCGCTGATCACCCAGAGAAGCGCGTGCGGACAGGAGGCACGTGGAGCAAGAAATCCTGTAACAGCCATGCAAAACGGTGGCTTGCCATCGGCCCTGTCTGGTTCTGGCTGTCATACTGTGGTTTGGCTGAAACAGCAGCCATTGTGACCCAGAGAACCATAGAACAGACTGTTGTCTCTACTAACGGTTTCTAAAGTCGAAGCCGCCATGCTGACGTACTTTGATGGGGTCTGAATCACAGCAGAACAACAGTGGTAAAAAAGATAGCCACGTCCTGTGAAAGCAGTCAGTGTCTCTCGCTGGGTGATGGCCCAGCCAGTCTCCGGCGGGTGAGCTCAGTCCCAAGTTTCCTTCCACCACTAGGAGGAGGCAGCCTCAGTGCCAGAGATGGGTGGTAGCCTGTAGTTTGTTTTAGCACTGTGTTTCTGGGTTGCTAGTAGAAAGCCAAAGCAAAAACTGGGCTCCGGCTCTGGCGCCATGTTGGTGAAGAGGCAGTCGAAGTGTGTCGCTCATGGTCAAGCTCCAGCCACCAGCAGGTGCAAAGTCAGTGCAAACTGACCTTCCTCAGTGTCCTTCTGGTGGGTTTAAGCCTGAAGGGACAGTGCATGTGTGTTGACTTGTCCCTACACTACCAGACTGCCAATCATCCGGGAGGTGTAATGGCAACGAAAGCTACCGTCTGTCTTTGTATCCAGCTGGGAGGGAGGGAGACAGCAGCAGCAGCAGCTTGGCTTTTCCTTGGTTTTGTGCTATTATTTTCAGAGATGCCCCATGAGGTTGGGATTAAGCTCTCCTTCTTGGGTCAGGGCATCTCCTGGAAACCATATTTTGTTTGACAACCAAGGTGTATTCAGAATGTGTCAACTTTTCCTAATGAAGCACTCATTAAGTTGCTGCATAGCACAAGACCTGAAGTCCTTATGCCTGGATATACCTTGTCCTGTCCTGTCCTGTCCTGTCCTGTCTGATGTGTCCATCATTATACAGGTCACTAAACAAAGGCAGACCCTGCAGCATTCTTACTACAGTGGTACCTTGGCTCATGAACTTAATCCGTTCCAGGACTCTGATCGTGACCCAATTTGGTCGTGAGCCAAGTCAAATTTCCCAGTAAGGGTCAATGTAAATAAGGTTAATCCGTTCTGTAACTAATTTTTTTACTCACAAAAATTTGAAGCAAAGTGACAAAGAACAACAAAGATCGTGGCCATCTCTCCCCCCCCCCCCCCCGCAGGTGAGGGGAGACGGGCACAATCATGGGAGCGCTGCGGGAGGAGGTGGGTACGGGTGCGAGCATGCTGGAGGGGGAGGTGGGTGCACTGGGGAGGGCGGGGGCGGGCGCGCTCAGGCAGGGAACATGAGCACATTCGTGGACATCTCTCACCCCCAGCACGAACACAGCCATCCCCCCCCCCCCCCAGCACGTCTGCGATCACACCTGTGCAGGGAAGGCGGGTGCACTCACGATCATCACCCAATGCAGAGTTTGTGACCTGTGGCAAAATTTTTATGAAATTATGAAATTTCTGTTCGCGACCCGATTTGGTCGTGAACTGAGGCATTCATGAGCCGAAGTACTTCTGTATATCTCAAAGCATTTTCACCTGGGAGCTGATGGTCAGCGATTTATCTCCCTGTTCCACAGCAAAGGGCTGCTGAATTTGTTCCCAGATTCCAGGACTGAGTAGTCTTTGGGTGGTGTTGGGGATCTTGCAGGTTGGGGATCTTCTGCCTCCTCTTTGCTCTACGAATGAATGTGTGCATGCAGTCAGCTACAGCAGATTCAGTTTTCTATGATTAATGATTGTGTTGCCCATGCAGAAGGCTCATAATTTCTGCATGGGGAAGATGGCTGTCTAATGGACCATCTGACTCACTACGAAAGTGCACAAATATTTACATTACCTGCAGCAGCCTGTCAGTCAGGGTCATAATATGAGAGGGCTTTCTCTTGTGTTACCCCAACCTGCACTGTAGTGTCTTAGGAATGACAATTGGCTCTCACTCCCTTGGTCTTTGGAAAGAATGTGAAGATGTGTCTTTTCAGTTTAGACTTTGAAAATGTGATATTTCATGGTTTGACTGTTGTAATCTTGTTTCATTGTTTCATTGTTAAAAGGTTTTATTTTTTACACTGTTTATGCCACCTTGATAGCTTTTTAGTAGGTAAGGTGGTATATAAATGTTCATCATCGCCATCATCAGCACCACCATCCCAATTTAACCTTCATGCTTATATTTATATCAATTTGAGTAGTGAATTCTGAGAATTCTGAAGAACAAAACAGAAGTGAGAAGCACGATTAATATAATCTTGAAGGAAAATTATCTTTGTTTTCTACTTCGACTAATAAATACAATCCATCTATTCAAGTGGTTCAGTGCCAGAAATTACCGGTAGTAGGATCAAAAGCCAGCAGAACTGAACAGTTCTCTCGAGAGCTGATATAGTTTAACCTCCATCTTGCAGCTCGAAGCCCTGTGTTCTCTCACTTGTCGTCATCTCTTCAGGGACTTTGGACTATTCGTGCTTTTAAAGCAGAGCAAAGATTCCAAGAATTATTTGATGCTCATCAAGATCTTCACACAGGTTTGTAAACAAGTAAATATTTTCAAGTATTGCAGAATTATGTGGCAACACCTCACTATATCACTTAAAGATGCATCTGGATAAATGAAAGTTCCCTCCTCCTTGGGCTACCTTTCAGATTGTGGTGTGTTTAGCATGCAGATGTTTGTCATTGGTAGAACCCGGGAAGAATGAAGCCAGGTTCTTCTGGCTTTTGTATGTGTCTCTACCGTCACAGAATCCGTTTTTGGAAACAGTAATAATTGTTCTTTCTTTGTTACAAAGCTTTGTGCCAGGGACAAAAGTAAGGCTTTTTTTAATTTTCCCAGCTTTTGAGGATTCTCAAATCACTTTAGAGAAATTTTGCCTTCATGTAATTTAGTGCAAACACCTTGGACAGATTAGAGGCCCAGATACTTCACTCCCTGCCCCATTTGCTTCTTAGCAGTGCAGAGTTGTTGTCTCATCGTTCATTATGGAAAGATGGGGTTTCTGTTACCATTAGTTGGAACCCCACATGGGTGCTTTATGCAGGAGTAGTTATATTCTCCATAACTGGAAAGGCTCAGGGAAGAGCCACAAGATGTATGGAAAGTATTCCTTAAAAGTATTCCTTTAAAAAAAAAGTATTCCTTGAATGTTTCTTTAAAGCAGATCTTGCTAATGACTTGCAAGAGCAAAGTTTCTGGTGTTAACGTTCTTTGTACTACAGAGGAGTGCAATTATAAACATGCATGTATGATAATTTCATACATATCAATTAAAAAAAAACCTTTGTAAGTCTGTATACAGCCTTCCCCAACCTGCTGTTCCCAAGATATGCTGGACCGCCACTCTCCCTGAACCCAGGAAGCATGGCCAGTGACCACAGCATTCTGTAAAGCTGGCCACTCGCTCTCGGTCACAGTAAGGGGAGGCCTCAAGGGGTAGGAGAAGGTGTGCCCTTATGGTATCTAAGGGACCTGTGATACCTGTGGTAGACATACTACCAGTTCTCGGTGTGCTGGATGCCTCATTGCAAAAAACTCTTCCTGGGCGAACTTTTCAGACTGGACCCAAAAGACACAGCTGGAGATGTGCAACTGTAGAGGTCCTTTGTTTACTAAATGACAACGTCTGAGAAAAAAGGGTATTTCAGATTCGTAGCTTTGGAGCCAGAATGGAGAGCCAGGACATCTGCACCCTTCAGAGCTGGTGCAGGGACACCCACACTGCCCAGCCTCCTTGGCCAGGAACTTGATCTTGGGGGGATGGAAAGGGAGGCGAGATATTCCGGAAAGGCCGGAATATCAGGCACCCTGAGGCTGTACCAGCTTTTTCTCTTTCCACTCGGAATGCTCTTACTAGGAAAGCAAAAGAACACAGGTTGAAAGGACAGGAAAGCACTGAATGAATGTAAGCCTCTGAGTTTGAGGACTTACGAACGTTGGGACGTGACCCATAGGGGTGTGCCTTAACTTTCAGGGTTTTTTTTAACATGTCCTCCTCCACTTTATTTAGAGGCCTGGTTCTTATTTCTGACTACGTCTCGGTGGTTTGCTGTACGCCTGGATGCCATCTGCGCCATCTTTGTGGTGGCGGTCGCCTTTGGCACATTGCTTCTTGCCCGGAGTGAGTATATTTGTGAGGAGTGATTTCCATTGCTTTACATAATTTATATTACTTTTACTGTTTTTGTTTCTTTCAAATATTTAACATGGAGTAATCATACCAATTTAACATACAGAGTTCCTGAAAACCTTCACAATATTAATTATGCATATGAGAGGCACAATTTTTCATGACAGACAAAATGCAAGAAGTCAAATGGCTTCCTGAAAACCATTCTTCCGGTTTGCTGCAAACAAAATCTACTCACTTTTTCAAAAAGTCTCTGTTTTAACTTATCTTTGGTTTCTTAATATGCCATGTCTTTAAATGTCATTCAGAACTAGCATTTTTATTTTCCAATGTACATACTTAGCTGCTTTTAATAATTTAATTTGGGTTAAAGGTTTCTAAGTCAAATCTAAGATTGCTAAATTCTTCCAATAACGAAGTATAGCCACTTTGAGATCTACTGCTTGCTAAAGAGTGGCTTATAATTCTGCAGCTATTCCAATTACCTGCTAGCAAAATCTGTTGATAACTGGAAATGTATGGGGTGTGTGTGGGGGGAAACAGCTCAGCAAGTTGTACAGAACATCACCAACTCACTTCAAGTTCGGTTCCAAATATTAAGGATAGCCTATGAGTGGTACTGTGCTACTCATAATGAAAATGGTAAAAATGTTTCTTTCGGTCAACTGAAATCAGCCTATATGGAAAATTTTTCCAAATCCACCCCAGTGTGTTAGGTTGACCTATAGCTTTCATTTCTCATATTTAATGATGTATAATACATGTTACTAATAAGACCATGGGGGTGGGTTACACCCTTTGTTATTCTGATTCAAACATTTGTCTCAGGTCTCCTTATTTCCTAATGCAACACTCTTCAGTTGAAGTGTGTTGCATTAGGGAAATGGAACAGTGGGGTAGGGTTGCGTTTGTGTATTTAATAGTTCACCTAATACCTTCTAAAATATTAATAAATATATACACAGCTAAGACCATTCCAGAATGCACGCCAGTGGAGGTATCACCCAGCTGATGTCTTACTGCAGTAACTTGTTCATTGCACAAAACAAAAGTCAAAACACAATTTAGGAGAACAATCCTAGGACCTTAGACATTAGCTGAAGGATCATATGATAGTCGGAATACTGCTGTCTCTTACCTTGGAGCTGGGATTGTGTGCTCTGCCCCCTTGACCACCTCCTCAGGACTGATGTGGAAAAAACCATGCTGATGGGTTTGTGCCCTAATTTTAAACCATATTTCAAAAATAGATCGATCTGGCTGAATGTTACAAACTTCGGATCTCATGGATTGTGCCTTATTGCTCATTCAGCTCAAATAAATTATGATATAGCATCTTCTGTTCAGCCCCAAAATCTATTCCTGGAGAAAACCAAAACACAATACCATGTGCTAATCTTTGGGGTTTTCCATTCAAACAAATCTTGAGCTAAGTCTTTGCAAAAAATTTAAGTTAGGAACATCAACTATCAAGGAATATCCGTAGATAAATATAAAATACTAGGTAAAAATATTGTAGTAGTTCTGCCCATCAGGGATTTAGCTGACAAAGTTCAGCTTGCTCCCTATGCTTTTCAAAATATGCCATGGTTTGTCTTGACAGTATTAATTAGATTGTTATCTAACTGTGTGGCTGTTGTACTGTAGCTTTGCACAGAATTTTCGTGAGAAAAAAATCTCTTTTGTATCAACATACATATTAAACCATAATTGCTGATTTACTGAATTTATGACTTGAAAGTTGCTACATACATTCCAGAAAGATTTACATTCTTTATATAACTCCAGACAGTTGGCGTTCTAACCATACCTCATCAGAACCCCTATTTTTTCACTGAGATAAGCAACAGTGGAGACGAGACATCTCTGCCTGCTTTCTTTTCCTTAGCCCAAAATGCTGGAAAAGTCACCACTGGAAATCTGCATGCTTCGATTTCTTAAAAAGATATACATAAGCTATACAACTGAATAATGAAAATAGATACCCCTACTGAATTCTGTCTAATAATGCCTTAAAATCCTAAAATTAGAAGTTAATTATTGACTAGAATCAGTGATTATATTCATGATGCTACTGATTCTCCTGACTTTTATGAGAAATGAGAATTTTAATTTTATATAGAAATTGTGCGATCATCTAAAGGTTTGACTCACCTGATTTATAATGTTTTTTATAGAATTTCTTACATTCATCAGCAAACATACCTCCATTATACAAAACTGGTGTTATTGACACTTCTTTGTCTTCTTTGGCTAATAATTGTGTAAACACATTTGATGTTTTATTACCTAGTTTCAATTCCTTCTGTCTTGTTGATCCAGAAACAAGCCAGGGTTCCTGGTTTGCACATTATACAAGCCTAGGTTCAGACAACTTGAGAACCTACCCTCAGAGACTGAGTGTGTTACTAGTTGTTGAACTGCTGTTGAAATGTGGGTTACCACGTTGTCTGAAAGCAGGAAATAAGCCCTGGCTGGTTAACTGCAAACAACTCATGAAGAGAGCTCATGGTTGTTGGGTTGTGAACTGTGGGTTGTTTTCCATCATTTGCTACCGCAGTAGAGTTCAGACAAAATGATAACTAATGGTTCAGCAATTATCATTATCCACGGTTCAGTGATAACCCACACTCACCTTTGAGTGTTGGTAACTGCATTTTCTTAACCCAGTCTAAATAAACTATAGACAGAAGATTCAGGGATTGTTCATGTTTCAGTAGGCATAGCTGTTGCATTAACAATTAATTCAGGATGTAGAAAAATGCTGAGTTATTGCAGTGTTAGAACCAGGGCTGTCCAAATGCTAGACATAATTGCATCCTTTATTATTAATGCAAAGAAATTTACTAATGTATCTACAGTTATTTCTGATTATAGTATACCTACCAAATCCCAGTTCCTAATTCCACTGTGGTAGTTTTGTTGAAGGCCAAGAATTCTTCTAAAAACAGCTCATAAATCCTACTAAATCATTTTTCCCAGTGATTCAGCATAGAGTTCAGACTTGTCATTTATTGTGGATTTCCTCCATCTGATCCTCTAAGCTTTCTGCCCCGTGTTATAATTAGCAAACTGCCTTTCTTAGTTCAAGGATTTCCTTATGTGCTTGTTTTAAATTATCCTGTAACTTAACTTAGTCTCTTTTCAAGATTCATTTCTTTTTCCTGCTCTCTCCTTGCCATATTTCAACCCTAGATTTTTCTCTCAAGAATATTACGAAGCTTAGTATCCAATTATTTGTCCCTCTTACCCAGATAAGATTCTAAGTCTCTTTCTCTAATTTGATTCCAATTTTTTATCTCTTTCTTTTAACTTCCAAGCTAATCTTTATTCTTAATTCTTAAGGTCTTTAAAGAGCAAGTTGTTAAAGAATCCACCAACAATATAAGATCCAACCCGTCTTTCTCTTCCTTTAAGACCTGGATTTTTAGTTGCTTCGTACACATCCTAGTCAAGTACAAGGAAATGTTTCCTTAAGAATATAAGTCCATAACTATTTAGTTCCTAGTGCATCATTTTTTGGGAAATCATCAAAAGATAAATACATAGCTGTCAGTAAAAATGTAAAGGGAGTAATAAGAATTAAAGAATAATAAAAAAATCCATAGGAGAGCAAGCCAGCTAATTTTAACTTCTCCCAATCACAAAAAATGAGGTGATTAAAGCTAGCATTGTAAAAAATCTGGAAACTCCATTAATTGCTTCTGATAATTCATTAACTAATTATATCCAGAACAGTTAAATGTATACAATAGTTAAACTTTCCCTCTTAAATATTCCCCAAATGCTTAAAGGACTCAGCACTCTCAGGCACTTCTGTTTATAAATAGTTATTTCTTTCCACATCTCATGATATATCAATAGCATGTATTCTTCTTGGAGATATACCACAAAAGGTTTACTAGATATTCCTTACAGCTCCAAGCACATCACCTAGCCACCCATCTTACTCTTACAAGGATACAAATTTGATCCTTGTCACCTCATGTCTGGCAAAAAATTCTGCTATGTTCAAACCGCAAGACGAGGTCCATTAGCGGCATGATTTTTCTTGCTAGTTGGGTGGAGCAGAGAGCAGCAGCAGGAGTAGATATTGATGTGTCTCCTTGCCGATCCCTCCACTCCATGTCCTAACACGATCTTCCAGCTTTGGTTCTGTTCTTCATTGGGTAGAATTTTCCCCTGATGGCATGTCTGGCAAACCTCAGGACAAAAGATCCATTAGCTGCGGGTGGGTGGAGTAGAAAGCTTCACAGACTAATGAACCTAGTCCTACATGACTCTCAAGTACCGTGCGAAGGTGCACAAGCAATTGATCGCTCTGAGAGCCCTTCCCAATATACCTGGGAAGCAAGAGAAGTAGCGGCTTTTTAAAGTAGATTCGGAACTATGTAAAAAAATGACATCCTCTCCCTTATATACCAAGTCCAACAACTGAATGAATTATTTTGTGGTCACAAGTCTTCGGTAATTTTGCATACTTATTTCAAAATGTTGTTGCTTTTGTTCTACGTACTTATGGCACTTGCATGCTGTCCCATGGCCCAGGGGCTCTCTGGTCGGCTACAAAAAAGCATCAATGATATAAAGAATATATAGAGCATATTAAAAGCTAATATACCCAAACATCGTAAAAACTAATAATAAGAATAGGAAACAAGAGAAAATGTGCATGGCAAATAAAAGCAAACTGTAAGAAGGACTAATAAAACCATTGTTGCTAGTCACGAAGTCGTGTCCGACCCATCGCAACCCCATGGACAACAGTCCTCCAGGCCTTCCTGTCTTCCACCATCCCCCATAGATTATGCTCAGTGCTTTTTCTGTAAAAAAAAAGGGTGCCAGAAATCACGTCCCGCCGGCAGTAAGCACACACACCAATCCCAAGCCAGCAGCGAGCAGAGCAGTGGAGCAGCGTCCCAAGCAGCTACCTCTCGCTCTGAGATAGCAGATAGCAGACACAATAGCAGCCTGCAGGCACTATGTTAAAGATGTTTGCTGCTGATCTGCTACTTGGTTCAAAATCACTTCGTAAAATCCATTGAAAAAAAGGTGCCGGAACACTGTTCCGGTGCGTTCGATGACAAAAAAAGCCCTGATTATGCTAATAACAAATGTGTAATTAAAACATCTTTACCTGTTGGTGGAAACTGAGTAGTGAGGGTGTCAATCATGCCTCCATAGGGAGGACATTCCTAAGACTTAGCTCAATAACAGAAAAAGCTCTTTTCCTTGCTATTTCCCCGCTTACTTCATTGGCGGGCAGGAGGCTTGTGTAGAAGGGCAGCCATGGAAGATCTTAAAGTTCTGGTAGGGATGTATGGAGACAGGCGTTCCTTCAGATATGCCAACCTCAAGCCATCTAGGGCTTTGTATGTTAATGTAAGCATGTTGAGGTATTACACATGTAGCCCTCAAGACATTTGATTTGGTTGTGTATGTATCATGGGTTTCCCTCCACTCTGTTGCATGTTCCCTCATTTAAATAATCTCTCTCTCTCTCTCTCTTTCACACACACACACACACACAAACTGTAAAGGTTCTTAATTGTTGAATATCTTTTTGAATTCTCTATTATCAGTTTGGGATAAGCACTTAAAATACCAGTTTTTTTAAATAAGAATTTTGAATAAAATGTTGAATCTTGTATTTTCCTTCACTTATTAGCTCTAGTTTCCGGTCAAGTTGGTTTGGCTTTGTCCTATGCAATCAATATAATGGGAATGTTTCAGTGGGGAGTTCGACAAAGTGCTGAAGTTGAAAACCTGGTAATATTCATTGTTCTTTTTGAAAGTTTTTAAAATCTCTTTTGTTGTACTAACCTGAAAATGATCCATGGCATGTTGAGATACTCAGACATTATAACTAAATGCTCTGCTTCCCAAAGAATCTTTCTCTACTTTTCTTTATTTATAAAAGACCTAATAGAAACTTAAAAGTGCACAATCATAATTTGGTTTTTTTCTGAAAGCCGCTTAACCTTTTGCTTATCTTAAAATGAGTACATATATGCTATTGGGTTTCTCCCCTTCAGACAGCTATAGTACATTATTTATTAGTGAACTGTTCATCAATATGTCAGAGTTTACACATACTAAGAAAGTAAAAATTATTTACTTCTATGAAAAAAACAAAGCAGAGTCTCATGGAATGTGAAAAATCAAGATTCATAAATGTAGTAACTTGAGAGATCAGCATCTCTACCCAAGAACATGTTGAAACATCTAAATGTAATGTATAATACATCGAAACGGGCATGATCTTCTGATGATGAGAACTGAGTCATACAACAAATATCTAGAGTGAGTTCTGGTTGCAAAAATTCCGCTTATTGCCTGTTGGTTTGCGGGTTTTGAGGGATGTTAAAAAGATCTCTCTGCCCATGAGATTGCAGCCAGTACTTTACAATAGAGATGACTGAGATCACAGTTGCATGATTCAAAATGAATGACTAAACAAAATGTATGCTCAGACAGTGTCCAGTGTGAGGGCCTTCTGACGGTACCTACAGGGGAAAAGAGATGGAGCATGAAGTGGCACATGCCATGTGGGAGATATGGGCAGCCCATTCATAAAAGAACATAAAAGGACATCTGGCACATAGAGACAGTAGGAAAAAAAACCGCAGGCACAGTATGCAAGAGAAGAACATGCAGGCAAAATAATTAAAGCTAATGTGCTTATTTTGGCAAATAAATTAAACTTACACAAGAGATAGATGAGGGAGGAACCATTCCCTCGTATATTGGAAAAATGAAGCCTAATATGAATGCTAAAGAAGAGATGGCACAGGCACTGAATTCGGGACTGAAAGCGAATTCTGCATATACTTCTGGTGTGTTTAATGTAGGCATTGGTGTTGGGTGTTAATTTTACAATTGGATACTGGAGGTTTCCTGGGACCTATTTCAAACATCCTTCCAGTGAAGCAGCCCTAAAGCTCTGGTACTGAGAACATTAACCAAGAGTGCGAACAATAAAAGCAGCTTTTGCCATATTGGCAAAAGTGTTGATTTTCTACTTTTTCTTTTTTACTGTGCATAGAATGGCTGGAGAAAGCCGCTTTTGCTGGGCATTTGTAAATTAATGTATTGCTGAAAAGACGATAATACAGTGGTACTTTGGCTCATGAACTTAATCCATTCCACGTCTCTGGTCAAGACCCAAATTGGTCAGGAGCGAAGTCAAATTTCCCATAAGGTTCAATGTAAATAAGGTTAATCCGTTCTGTAAATATTTTTTTTAATCATGGGAAAGATGGGCACGATCGCGGCCGAGCTCGGAGGGGGGGAGATGGGCGCAATCGCAGCCATCTCCCCCCAGCACGCCCTCAATTGTCACTTGATGAGGAGTTCGCAACCTGAGGAAAATTTTTTCCTAAATTTCTGTTCATTCATTTATTTATTTATTTATTTATTAAAACATTTCTATGCCGCCCCTTGCCAAAGCCTCGGGGCGGCTTACAACACAATAAAATACAATAAAATACAAAAATAACAATATAAAATTAAAATTAACAATATAAAATAAATAAAAAATATAAAAGTTGTGAACTGAGGTGTTCATGAGCCGAGCTACCACTGTACGTTCTTTTTCATCTTGGGTATGTGGTTGACCTTTATTAACACAATTATGAGTTGAACATATGTGCAGTCACACACTAGTAAAGGTGTTTTCTATAATCATATTTGTAATTAGCCACATAGTTGCTGATTTTGATAAATTAGGCTACATTTGTTATATCAAACTTCATTTGAAATAAAAAATAGAAGTCCTTCAGGTTGAATTTAAGTCCTTCAGTTGTGTCTGTGAATTTAAGCCGTGTGACAGAAAATGTATGCTCCGTGAATTAACTTCTGTAATTGCAGGCTTCTGTAATTGTTGATGTCAGTGAATATGCATAAATCAGGTGTGTTGCTCTTTTCCAGATGATCTCTGTAGAACGAGTACTGGAATACACCAACCTTGAAAAGGAGGCACCTTGGGAATCTAACAAGCGTCCACCCCTAGACTGGCCCAGCGAAGGTGTTATAGGATTTGAAAATGTTAACTTCGCATACAGTAAAGATGGTCCTTTGGTGCTAAGACATTTAACAGCTTTAATAAAGTCAAAAGAGAAGGTACGTATTTGACATTTTTACTTCTGTGTCACAGAGCAAAAATTGGTTATGATCAGTAGTTCTATACCTAGGCCAGAGGTGGCGAACCTATGGCACGCGTGCCACAGCAGGCACGCAGAGGCCTCTCTGTTGGCACGCGAGCCAAGTTGCCCCAGCATCGCCCCAGCAGCTGAGCATTGGATAACAGCACACATCGGGGCCGTGTGCATGCTCAGAAAGGAGTAGTGGCGCCAGGCGATGATGTCACAAGCCGTGACTCAATAGCCATGACTCATCCAAGCTTTCACATGGCTGGTCAGTGTGCTGCCAAGGATATATGTATATTTGCTTGGACTGACTGTGAGTTGTTTTTTCTAAAATAAACCCGCAGTTTTCAAGTTTTAGTGCAGTGTTGGCACTTTGTGATAAGTAAGTGGGTTTTGGGTTGCAGTTTGGGCACTTGGTCTCTAAAGAGTTTGCCGTCCCTGCCCTAGTCTTAAGCCGTAAGTTAACTACAGCTGCGTTCGGCAGGAGCAACGACATACACCTTGCAGAATGAAAGAACCTTGCATATATTTCAGTTGTTTTTGTGTTCTTCTCCCTGTGTTTTTGTCATATTTGTATCATTCACCATGGTTATGGAAAAGGAAAGCTCCGGAAGTAATGTACACGTGGAAAGTTTGAGATCGGCTCAGACAATAGCTGAGTGTGGGATCTATAGGAACCTGGTAGTCCGAGGAACAGTCCTCCACTTTGATACCTTGGTTAACGTGCTGAGTGGCTTTTGGTTTAAGGAGCAAGTTACAGAATGAGTAAGTAGGATTTGGTGCATTCAGCTCATCTGAATACGTGACATTATAAGATGGAGGAAAGCACAGAGTGAGATTCGTGGAAGAGTACCACACAGTTTTTGTATTTTGGCAGGCTGCTTGAACTACTCATATGAATTGTTTGGCATGGTGTTCTGCTTCTGTTTTGCTTGTACAATTGACTTGTAGAGTTTGAGCGTAGACCTCTAGTACTAGGCCAGAAGTGCGAAGCTCACAGTCTGCCTTTTCCTGGAAAGCTATGCTGATGACATAGCTGGAACAGCAGTGTTGGATATTGTACGTAATTGACTTTTTCATCAGAAATGCATTTATTAAATACTTGACACAAATAGGGAATAGAGACGCTATGCAGTATGGGAAATTTCTTCTGATGTACATGCTATTTTTATGCCTGTATTATTCGTGACATATGTTGATCATTTTGGAGTATGATGGGTGATCATCTAGTTCATTTATAAAGGCATACTTATGGGTGCGTATATATCATGAAGAAGACTGAGAGCTATTGGTAGAAAGATGAACAGAGAATCAGTAAAGAATGTGTAACTGGTGAATGGATGGGTCAATGAATATTTGTATGTGTATTAGTGGCTTGCATGATTTTGGGTAAATGGAAAAAGGGTATGAACACTGGCTTGGACCCCGGGATGTCTGTGTGCATGCAGTAAGCATTCCTGCGTGTGTGCAGAGGAGAGAGGATGGAAAATGTTGGTGTTGGAGTACTAGACTGAGTGCTTTGCTCCCCTGGATGACCCTTGTTGCTCAGGGTGTGTTGAGAGAGAGGCATGTGACACTGCCACTGAAAGGAGAAAACCAGAAAGGATCTTTGTTTCAGTGGAAGCAAGCTTTCACTTTAAGGAGTCCATACCATAGTATGGAAGATTGCAAGAGAAAATTCTTTT